AAACATGAAGTGATAAAAGAATAGAACATTTAAGGCTGATGCAGATTTATGATGGCAGACAAAAAATGGGAAAATACACAGAAATGGATAAACTGGCAAAATCTTCAAACTCAAGTGGCCAAAAAAAAACAAACCACATGAAAATAATCTCCCTTTAAGTCCCACAAATGGATCCAAACACATTTTGGCAAGGCTTTATATGATTACTCATGTTAGGTACACTTGGCTTGCTTTCACAGAATGCAAAAAAAATCACAGAAATAAAGGCAGCAATAACCAGTCTACTCTTGTATCAATATTTTCCTCATGTAAAATTAATGCTGGAAGTTTAGTTTACTGTTTTTGAATGCCTAGAAGTGATCACACTGCCAGCAAAAAATATGGCTTAATAACAGAAAGTGAACTCAAATGAAAAGAGATAACAACTAACTCACTGGACCAATTTTTAAAGCAGTAGCAGGACTTAGCAATCACATTTAAAGAAAATGAAAAATATTATAAAACCTGAAACTTATAGCTAGCATAATTCCCAGGGCAAAACTGAAACTGTTTTATTGGAAAGTATGGGCAAAATTCTACAGTGCCAGCAAAGCACAGGAACACCAAGCATTCTATAAACTGTTACCTGACTGAGATTGAAATGCATGTATTTTGAATTCCAAGGCAGCAGTTACAATGACTAACCATAACTGCTCCAGAGCAAACAAATATTTTCACTAACAGAAACTAGAAATAAAGACAGAAACTGGCCCACAGCTGTCCTGAGAACAGAATGCAGAGTCAGGAAGAGCAAGAAGCCATCTGGAAGACTCAAAGGTAAGCATGCATGGGAAAATTTGCCAAGACAGAAGCTCTCAAATGATCACACTCCTGGCAACACTCAGAATATCTCAGTGATATGCTGAACAGCTGCTGCTGCTTCTGTGAGCAGTCAGGACACAAAAGCCTTTGCATCTAGTCTGCAACTAGTTGCAATCTAGTTGTAGCAGCACTTTCTGGCTTCAGCCTCAGTGCTCACCTTGATCTGCCCAGTAAACCACACTGGCAGGCAAATGTCCCTATGGTGCTTCTGTATTTCAGGACAAAACATTTCAGGCAGGATTATTTGAGCACAATGTTCTGCAGCTTCCCAAGAGCTTTACCTCACCTGTGTTTGAAAAATCCACAGGATTTTCTCATAAGGGCAACTGCAAGGTAACAAACAACTGGACATGATGTGGAATCTGGATGAATGGTTTACTTAGGTCAAAAAACCAAAAGCAATTGCTGCTAATGGTATCTAAGCACAGGAATTTAGTGATCCCTTGTTCTAGAAGGTACCCTACAAAGCACATTAGGGCATAGCCTGACTTCAGAAGGGTTGTCCTCACCTCTCCTCAAACATCTCCAGGAGGCTCACCAGCCACAGGTACAGTGGCATTCCAAGGCTGAAGCGGAAGAGCAGCTGTAAGCAGAGATTTCCTGAAGAGTTCAGTGGCTGGAAGGGGGTGCTGAGCCTTGAAAAACTCTTCAGCACAACGGTGCTGCTCAGGCAAGCAGCGAGCACAGTGAAAGGGAAGGACACCAGAGGCTTCTGCAGGAGGTGGACATCAGTGAGCTGAGATACACAACATACAATGTAAGAGAAGGGATAGCCAGGCTGCCACCACTCCCCAAAACCATCACCCCACCCTAAATCCTTTCTCACTCAGCTGGATTATCTATAATCAGGCCTGAGGCAGCTAGCAGAGTTTAGGAGGAATCAGATAATAATCATATCAACTCTCTGACTAAACCTATGCAGTAAGATCTCCTGTTTCTTCTAGATACTTGCTGAAATAATTCCAATGTTCCTGTAGCCTTCTGTTGACCCACACACTCATGAGCCATTCCCAGGGCCTGAGCCTTTTCCACTGAATATTTCATGATTTGCAAGTCTCAGCTTACCTCTACACATGTTCCTGGTCTAAATCCCCGTGCAGAGTTCAGCAGTGGCCGGTAAGCAAGGCACAAGCAGATTTGGTTATCCAGTAAAAAGAGACCAGCTTGGACATTAAGTATTTTGGTGACAAATCCCTAAACAGAAAGCAAACAGAAAGTTACAGGTGTGTAGAGAGTCCCAAAACATAAGAGACTCACAAGCCTGAGCAGTAAGAAAATAAACTCATGAAGAAAATAAATCCTTGGAGGCCAGGAGCTGAAACCCCAGAGCATGAGTGGGTGAAGGCTAAGCCTATGAATCCTCACCACATAGGAGATGATCCTGGACTCTTTGGTTGATCTTGATTTCTCCTCTTCAGCTCCCAGCTCCAAGGAGCCACTGAGATGCTCAGCAGTCTCAAGGGAAGAAGACTGAGTGGATTCTCCTTGCCAAGCACTGTTCAGTGGCTGCTCCCTCACCTGCTCTGCACAGTAGGGCAGAAGGCAGGAAGAAACACTGGTGATGAACATCCTTTGTCCAGATTTCTTCAGGCTGGACATACTCAGACCTGTTATTGTGTACCTGTGACCCAGCTGGAAGACATGATGCCACACCAGCTGGCTGGGTTTCTAGAGCAGAAAAAAACCAAAAGCAACATAAGCATAAACCTCAGTGGAAAAAATTCTTCCAACCCCACTCAAAACCCCCTTTTCCCTCCAGAGGATTGCCTCACACTCTTAGCAAAGAGCTGTATCTGCCAGACATTCAGGGACACTGCAACTGCAAGAGGGAGAATGATTGCTTTTCTGCAGGGTACAGAACTAGATAAAAAGATATCACTAGTAAAAGGAGGAGTAAACCAAACTGGGAAATCAAGGGCAAGCTTTGAAGGATTAACTACCACATACACAGATACAGACAGTGAATTTGTGAGCAAAATTCCAAGGACTTACCTGCACCAGCACAGGGACACAAACAGCTGAGGAAAAGCACTTCAGAAAGGCAAAGAAGAATGTTTTGTGGTGAACACAAAGGAGAGGCCCCAGTCTGGTCAATTCTCCTGCTACAGCAACCTTTGATCTTCTCTTACATGGAATCCTAGAGGGAATTGAAGAGGCAACTGAAATCAGAGATGAAAGAATGGCTCAAAAGTATCACAAAAGCAAAATAAATATGTACCATGCACTTTCCAGGAATATGGGATCCAACATGGTAATATGGTCAATCTCTCAGAGAGTTTTTCAAAACACTATTTGGCTACAAAATTTTGTACTTTAACTTTTCTATACTAAATCCCTTTGATGTTTTAGTATTTGAAGACAGAAGGGTTGTGTTGAACAAATTCACATGCTCCATGACAACAGCCAGGTTATAAAAAGTTTTAGCACAAACAAGAAGCTATATATAGGTCTAAAGGAGAAGAAAAAAAAAAGCAATTATTTTCCAGAAAACAGAAATTATTTTCCAGAAAAGAGAACTGGGATTTGTAGGTCCATGGAACATGACATTGTGGAAGCTCTAAGCCTATAAACAACAGGCCTGAAAGTAAAATGGAATCTTTCTAACACTCTTGGCACAGAGTGAAAAAGCAGCAAAACTGAAAGCAGATGACAGGCAAGAGAGGTGCTATTTCTTGAATCAATTCTGTTTGTTGTTTCAAACCTACATTTCAAAACTTTTTTTAAAAAGTAATTTTAAAAAAAATTATGTTTGTAATTTTCATTTCAGCTCCTACTGGGTAAAACCATCCCACTTACTCTAGACAAAAACATTGATTCCAAAACATATAAACAAATATCTAACTTTATGTCTTTAAAAAAACCCCAACCACTAATAGACCCCACTAATAAAACCCCACAGTAGTACCAGCATCTCACTGTAACATATAAATTGGTCAGGTATCAATCAATAACAATTTATATTAAAAGTCTGAGAACATGTACTGAAATATGGAAATAGTTTTCTTGTTTAGAAAGGTCCCTTGAGCTAAATCAAACACTTTTTTTTAGCTTAAAATAAGTTTCTTACAAGCAGATAAACCAAATAAAAACATAAGATAACAAAAAAAACAAACCTAACTGAACATGATTAGTGACATTTGATTGTAATTAAATTACATCAAGAATTCTCTGCTCAAGAAGATAAAACATGATATAGCACAACTTGAAAATATCAACTTAGTAAGATTTGCAATTCCATTGACTCACTTTCACCTACTGTAAACTTAAAAATTGTTATTTTTATCAGTTGGCATTTTACTTTAATCTCATTAATCTGATAAGAACTCGACCAGTGACACATATATTAACATCATAATACACTATCAGATTACTTTCAATTCTATTTTTGGTTCATTGGAGGCTAAAAAAAAAAAAAAAAGTGCTAATTTTAGCCTTAATGACAGTTGAAACAATACTCTTCTAATATTCTTTCTGTAATATGAAGTACTGGAAATACTTAAAATTTGTATTCTTTTTTCAAATTACAGAATAAAAATTTCCAATGAAGTCCTGGAAAACCAATGATTGAACCAAGATGATTAAAGAAAGGCTTTGCTGTATAACTTTTACCTCCACCACTCACTGCTATGCTTCCACCTGTGGCAGAAACAGAATTTGTCTTCATGTTACCTGCCAAGCCAGAGATGTTTGTGATGGAGTTGAGGATTACAGATGTTTACCTGGAGGTGAGCAGTGGCTCAGCTGACACTGGGGAGGTGATTGGAATGTTGTGAAGCATTTCCTTGGGGCCATTTATTGGCACTGGATCCACCAGGATTTCCAAATACCCTGCTGCACTCTGGTCTGTCTGTGGAATATATGACCAGCTTGGGAAGACAAACAGTGACTCCAGCCACTCCAGTTCAAAGTGCAGGAGCTAAGTTAAAAGATAATGAGATAAAAGCTTGATATGGGTTTCAGCATGTTTTCCCAGCATTATTTACAATGTTTATTACTAATACATCCTTGCATGTGCATCACAAACTCTTGTGCTATGGCTGGGCTTCATTACTAAATGAGAGCAGTGTTTTCTGTCCACTCTCTCACCTTGCACAGAGAACTTCTGTCCTTCCAGATGAGCTCTACAGCTAGCACTTCCTGGCTTATAGTGACAACCTCACAGAAAGCTGATAATTCACTGCAAAGCTTAGTTATTTTCAGACTATTTTTCTAAAATTCTTGCTTTCTTTTGCCACTGCGTTTTTAGTTAGAAGTTCTTACCAATACAACATTTTTCTAGGCTTTGTCTTCTTGAAAAGCACAACATCAGTGCTCTGTTATCATCACTCTGGGGGTTATTTGTTATTTTGACTCCCCTTGCAATGACCTTCAGGAGGCTTTTAAGTGAATTGTCATGCAAGCTATTATTTCCTGAAAGTTTGTCATCAATGCATCACTGAATACACAGTACAGCTCTCCAGAAAGTTACTTCTACTCCTCCAGATGGAATTCAGCAAAGCAGGGGAGGTCTCCAGGCCACCTTGTACTGTGGTGAATTTAACAGAACTGTATTAACAGTCCCTTTTTTCCAGTACATTCAATATTTCTTCTCCTAGCAATGGCACATTTCACAAGTTCTATCCTCTGCCCAGGATGTGAGTTTTTGCTGTTTTCCTGCCTACATCCTACAGAGATGAGTTATTTTTTCACTAGACTCTGGCAGAACACCTGAAGCCCCTGGTGGTTTGTGATACTGAAGCCCCTGGTGGTTTGTGATACTGCCCCAGAAGTGAGAATGAACACAGAAACCTCATACCTCACATGGAATTATCCCAGTCTTGTCCTTCACATATAAACAACCATCTACCAACTTTTCTTCGTTTTCTTGCCTTCCATCTGTTAAATAACCAACCAAGATCAAATAAGTCCTTGGCAAAGTGCTCTGCATGGGTAAAGCACCTTGTCCTTGATGAGACCATTCCTTAAATTCATTAGTGCTCCAGCTCAGGTGGCTGCAGCATGGTATGCGCTGCTGATGCTGTAGGTCAGAGATGGAGATGAAGCTGAAAAAAAGAAAAAGAAAAATGAGAATAAAGCAGAATGTGTGAATAACTCACACTGCCTCATGGTTATTACATTCAGAAGAAACAGTTTCTCCTCGAGCTCCAGAGCTTGGTGGTTGGTTGTGGATGTAGCATGCTGCTAACAAACAGACCACTGATCTCACAGGAGATAAATATCAAGTACCTTCAACTCTTTATGAATTCTCCTCAGTATAAACCAAACTCTGGTTTAAATGTCATGAAATACACAAGGAGAAATATGGCTTAAATGAGATCAGCTGGTGTGAAAATCCAACACCTACATTTATCAACTATTACTTAAAGGTCACAAGTCCCTAATCAATTACTTCTCTATCGACAAGGACCATCTGCTGAAGTTGTGGAATAGGAGTCACACAAACATGACCCCAGGAGCATAAAACAAGAATGTTAAAAAGGTGATACATGTTAAAGTTACAAGACAGATTTAAATATGCATAAATGTCTATGAATAGGCATTAGGCTGATATAACACAGAATGTATTTAAAGAGGTTCCTATCCATACCCAGTGTGCCTCTGGCAGATCGCCAAGCACCTGGTGCCATATCCTTTTGCTTTTATGTACCCTATTGTCATTTATTAAAACCCTTTAAATTTTAACAAGAAAGTGAATCTCGTTTTTCACCCTCCTGAGCGGGCCAGCAGGATGCAGCCTCTCGGCGAGATGACCCACTTTGGTTACACGCCACACCGACCGCAAACACGGCACATACGATGCTTAATGACACCGCAGCACGGCGGGGGCGCACCGAGGCCAAAGGAACGCGTGTGGATACCCCTGCTCGACACCATCCCTCCCACAACCGGCCGTGCCGAGCTCCCGGGACACCCCCGGCCCGTCCGCTCCTCTCCCCACCTGTAGCCGAGAGGCAGCGCCCCGCCGCTCGCGTTCCGCAGGCACCGCAGCACCGCCTCCATCGCCGCCGGTTCCTGCCCGTCCGACCCCGGGAGAACCCGGCGAGCGAAATCCCGAGCCTCCTGCAGCCAGCGCTGCTCCTGGGGAAAAAAAAACAAAACAGAAAAGCGGGGTCTCAGCRCTGGGAGGCGGGGAGGGCGCGAAGCCACCCGGGCCCCTCACTCACCGCCGCGCTGGGCGCCGCCATGACACCCGCGCGGCTCGCGCCGTTGCCGTGGTGACGGGGAGCGCGCGGAGGCCGCTCCGTCCAATCACCGCCGCCGCTCGGCCGGTCCCGCCCCTTCCGCGCGGGGTGGCGGGAAACGGGACCGGCGGGAAACGGGACCGGGTGAGCGTGTGGGACGGGATCGAGCGGGGATGTGGGACGGGCCCGGGTGAGCGTGTGGGACGGGCCCGGGTGAGCGTGTGGGACGGGCCCGGGTGAGCGTGTGG